GACCATGGTGTCATACCCGTGGGTGACAGCCGTCTGCGAGATCTCAGTTTGGAAATTAGTTGCAGTTTCCGAAAGGGAAAGCAAGCTAACCGTCAGAAAAAAAGACAAGATTTTAAACAAATCATGCGAAAAATGTAACGCAATTAAACAAATGTTGTACTGTGGATTTTTAATTCAATGTCTGATTAATTAGAGCAGGGGTGTCAAAGTCCAGACAGGAGTTTTACACCTGGGAATTTTTGTACTTATTTACAAAAGTTTTGTACAGATATTCTGTTGGTAGGATACCATAGCAGACATTCATCTTGTCTCATGTGGTGGAGAAAAACTGGTTTTAAACCATAATAATTAGATTCCTGGTCTTGATCTTTGACTATTAGAGACTCTTGCATGCTTACTGTGATGCTCACAAATACACTTAGTCATATATTGTAATGCATATTATATCACTAGTAAAGGTTATGTAATCTATAAACAATTTCCCAGAATAAAATGTGATTTTAATCGTATTTTTATCTTTTCTCCATGACCATGTGATGACCCTAAGAAATTATCTTGCCATCTTGATATCCCCCTAAGAATCACTGGTTTAAGTAATCCATTTATTCCCAATGAGAAAGGCCCACTGCATTGAATCAGCAGGGAAAGAAAGTGGAAGAGGTGTAAATGGAGAGTAAATCTGAGCTTCAGCTAAGGCTTTAGCTCCAGAGAGAGACTCACATGAGAGAAAGACATGGGCGGAAACAGAGATTACTCTGGGAGATAGAGAGCGGCTGGTTAAAGAGGATCAGTTTATCTTCACACAGGCCTACATGTCTCCCTGAGGGCTTTGAGAGAGGGACTGACTTTTTATCCTTTACTTGATAATAACACAGCAGCTTTAGGTTTTTGATGCCTTGTTACTCATGCTGATTTGATGTGTGTTTTGCAAGTAATGAGACAAATTTGTATATTTTTTGGCTCACGTATCGCCTGTTCTTTCAATTGTCACGCTTCATCTATTCATTTCTGGTGTCTTAAACTCAGAGATTTTACTGTGATGAAGATGTGATTAGTTCCACTGTGGTTTTATCTTATCATCAGATGATGCCTTTTTCATAGAAATGTGCCTCCCCCTATGGTCAATACACTAAACTACAGCGAACACACAACTGGCCTCGAGAGCCTGCCCCAGCTCGGATATGCGTGTGTGTAAGTTTGTCCCTGCCATCTTAATTTTTTTTTTTACAGCTGAGACTTATACACATGATGCCCTACAGGAAATCCCAAACCATTGTTTATTCTAAAGAAAAGATTCCAAGTAGCAGATGTAAATTATGGCTAGACTCAGTTATAGCCTGTGGTAAAATTTAATTAGGGCAGAGTTGAATGAGAGCATATAGGATCATATCAGTATCATCTCTATTAGCATCTCTAGATTTTTCCTCTTTTTTTATAACCTCTGAAGGATTTAAGTTTCTTATCCACTTCTTGAACTGCTGTTTCTTAGCCCCTCTTCTTCCTCACACACACACACACGTACACACTCCAGATGGAGAGGACGACGGATTAGTGAAGATTTTGCTTCATTTAATAAACAATTGAATGACACAGTTCTGAGGATAAACCTGCTCTAAGAAACATAAGAACAGTCTGGACACTGGGGTGAGGACGTGGCAGGGCGTTATCCTGCTTGAGAATTGTGATCTGAATCCCTCTATAGGGCTGCCGGCAGCAGGCTTTTATTCACATCACACAGCGGCATGGTCTCTTCATCATACGAAAAAAGCCTGATCCTTTCTGATGTCTCTTTTAATCTATTCAAATGTATATCTGTATATCACCCAACACACAATGAATATGTGGTGCTTTAGATATCGTGCTGTTCAGATTGACACACTTACATTGAAACGTCCGTATTGGGCAGTTGTTCCAGCACATATACAGCCGGCAGTGGTATATTCAAAACATTAACAGGATTTGTAGGTGCTTTTAAATGAGAAAATGTACAATTCTTCTGCAATCTGGGCTTTCCTGCATTATTAATCAAGAACGCCCCCTAACAGGACATAGATGATGATAAAGATATTATTCTCATGCAAACATGTCGAGTAGATGACTTCATTATTCGACACCACTGACATGAGCGCACAGGGAACGTGAAGCCGTATGACTAGAAACGAGAGGATTTTTTTCCCCCGGGTCTCGTAATCTGTTCACTTGTTGATTATTATTTGCCATCATACACTTTTGTGTTGAGAAACAAAACAGTTGGATATGCCCTATTTTTTTTCTGAGCGCCTCCAACATTTGTTCTGTTGCTGAACATCATGGTTAGATGTTATGATCGGGATATATGTCTGTGATTTGGCCTGTTGTGCTAGTCCCATCCGTCTGAATGTGTACATGGATTTTTAAATCAGATTATGTTTTTTGTTTCAACCCTGTGAGGTCAGTCACCTTCATTGAGTGCTGCTGTATATTTGTAAAGACAGGATATTGCATACTTTCCTCATCAATTATGTTAAGATGCAGGTGTTTCCCCACAGTTATAGTTGAGCGCATGAAAAAATTAGATCTAATTTAATGATGGTGACATTTCAAAAGTGTGGACTATTATTATTTCCGTTTGATGTCAGAGTTGGGAGAAAAAGGAACATGGGACCATTTAGAGTAATAAAGTATACAACGGTTAAAATTAGCTAGTTTAACTGCACAGTACTTATGAAAAATATTTGAATGTTTTCTATAGAACTCATTGGTCTATATCTAAAAAAAAATCTCTTGAAAACATTTTAATACATTTGCCTGACTTTAAACTCTTCGAACATATGGGAGCAACATCCAGGCTTAGTGGAGATCACGTGGCATAAATGACGAAATATGAAGCGGAATGATCTGCTAATTGCAGTGCCGAAAGCATACGTGCTGTTCAGCTTATGATGGCAGCAACAGAAGTAGTGGGGCAAGTGACCATCCGTTATGTAACGTCTGTATCCAGCCTGTGCTCACGTGAGGTGAGAGGACTGAGCCTGGGATTGTTCGGGGAATACTCAGCTGGACTTACCAGACTCAGATTCCAATATGAAAGGACCCTGATGTGAGGATCATACTGACCCAGGAGGAATAAAAGAGCAATTGCTGACAAGCTAAAAAAAACCCAGCAAATAAAAAAACAAAAAACAATTGTGCTTTTTTTCTTTTTTTTTTTCCAGTTTCTGCCTCTCACTAAAAAAACAGTCTGTTTCTCATACACGTGCATCTTTTCCTACTTTTATCTATGCGCACTCCACCCCACCCCATCCGTCCAGTACCACCCGCCGCCTAATTCTCCCGCCTCAACCAGATTTTAGTCTGGAATAGAGGGAAGGCGTGCCAAGCCGAACAGATGTGGAGATTTCAGCTGTCTATGGATCATATCACTCCCTCTCTTTCATCTCTACCTACTCGTGATCCCTGTCCAAGTATCTATGCACATGAGGCATACTTTCCCCCAGTCTTCTTCTCTGCAGCTGAAGTGGCAGCAGTAGCTCCTTTTTTTTCATTTTTTTTCGCTGTAGTTTTTGAACCAAGCTTCACACTGGAGGCACAGATGGACCCCGGCTGCTGGGATCATCTGATCCAGCTTCAGCTGTCCGGTTCGGGTGACTGGGCTCCCTGTGAGTTGGACCTCCTCCTTGTTTTTTTTTGTTTTTTTTTTAATCCTCATGAAATTGCTCCTCTTTTATCATCATCTGTTATAAGCATGACAACATCCTGATAGTTTTCAGTAATCTTTCTTTCTCTGCAGCGTTGTTCTTTTGCTTGGTTTCGAACACTCTCCTCAACAGGTTGTACTCGCTTGGCTGTGTTTTTCCTCATTCATATGCTTTTTTCGGAGGGTGGATGCGACTCATGATTGAGTCTTTTACATACCTGAAACCTAATTTTATGTAAATGTGGACACCATCGGCAGATACGTGATGCTTGATACGCTAAATCAATATCAATTAGCTTTCAGGATTACTTTTACAACTAATTAGTTGAGTATTTAATTTAAAATTGTCCTCATAAACTTGAGTGACGTTCAAAGATCAATAAGATAAAAACTATCAGCGGCTAAATATTTTCAAATGTATCTTTTATTTAAGTAATAAGTTCATTTTAAACTTATTCAACACGTAGAATAGTATAATGGAATTCAGTAACTACCACGAACAGTGGAAATCGTATTATAAAGTCATGAATAAGCTATTTTTCCTCATAAATCACAGAGATGTCAGCAACAGATTTTTGGAGTGTTTGATGTGAAATGGAGCAGCTATATTTAACAAGACAGATAAGTGTGCATCTCTTCTCTATGTCTGATTTTGGATTTTTCCCCTGTTGTGATCCAAATGGGATATGATTCATTTAAATGATTAGTAAGCTTCAGATATGGCAAACCTGACAACACACAGCTGTAGTCATAGAGACTTTAGGAGCTTATCGATTAGTTACCAGATGAGCTCTGCTGATAACAGCGTTAAACACCCTCCAGTCCCTGGATCCATAAAAACCTGCTTAAGCCTTGGCTTCTTCTCAATTGACAATTTTACTCAATTTCCATATTTTATTGCGTCCTTTTTTATGCACCTTGTCGTTGGGCATAAGAATAGGTCTAAAATATAACACATATCTATGAAAATGAAAAAAGAATGAAAAAGGAAAAACTGATGCTTTTGCAAATTAGCTCACAGTAAAAAAAGGGAGGTTATTTGCCCTAATCAAAAATAGATGTATGTAGATGACCAATTAAGATTTTATATAAATGTATATCTACATACATATATGAACAGAGAAAAGCGTATTTGTTTAACTACCTAAAAAAGGTCAAATGACAGAACAGAATTACAAAAACCTAAGAAAATGTCACCTCTGTCCATAACAATTCCCCGGATCATCCATCAGTACCGCACCCTTTCTATAACTTTCCTTTGTATAACATATTGAAAACATACATATTTTTAAAGCCAGTTTGGCCTGTTTTGTTATTGTTTCAGGTGACACCCAGAAAGTGGAGATGCCCAGCAAAGAGATGGAGGTGGTGAGGGGCCAGATGGTGGTGTTACAGGCGTGGTACAGCCCCAACTCAGACATTTCCCATAACACAGTCATTTGGCATTTCACCGGAAATGATTCCAAGCAGGTGAGAAGCTCATGTGGGAATATATACATTCAAAATAAGTTAAAAAAAAAGAAAAAAAATGTGGACAGTTTAATATTCAATTGATATGTTTCCATCAAATGGACACAAATTTGAAGTTATCTTTTGCAACCTTTCTCCTTTTATCAGTTCTATTCTGAGTTTTTCTCTGATTATCACCCCAGCTACAGAATTATTTTCTAAAACCTTCAGTGGCTTTTAAAGTATAACCCTGATCTACACTCACTCATGGTATAAAAAGTAGAGCTTCTTTAGGGATTATTGAATATAATAATGTACAGAATTTGCTGATCCTCAGTCCATTATGGCAGACTTCAACAAACTCAAAAATAGTTTTAAAAAAAATGCTGGAAAAATAATGTTCTTTTTTCTGGCCTGCTCACATTTCAAACAAGACTGTATCTGTTTTATTGCATTACAAATTCATATGATGATTTTTCTGTTTAAAATCATGATCTGTAGAGTTCAGGCTGGTTGCAAGGGTCACTATTACTGTCTTATTCACAGCAGAGCAATTTAAGGAAGAAAGGAAGAGCATCGTAGAGGAAAGGATTCCTCTACCTTTTTCAGTGCCGCTTTTATGTATTAATAGCTGCTTCTGAGACTGCAAATGCTGACTGTATGTTTACATGATTATTATAATCTAAACTATTTCTGTGTGTGATGCCTGTGAGATTACTTCAAATAGAAAATCAACATGAATTTCAAAATCCTCCATCTGTGGATGGATTATCGTCATGGATGTCAGTTCCTGTTGTTAATCTGCACATCTTGACATGGCAAATTGAATTAAAACTGTTTAATTCATATAGATGAAAATGTGCAATCGTTTCTAAGATGTTGCATTATGGGAAAACAGCTATATAATGTGTCCGCTAACCTGTGGTTTTTGCACAGGTCATAAACTTCAGCTCGGGGAAAGTTGGGCACGGACAAAACGAGTTCACCAAACGAGTGGGCTTTAGCGTGGCCATGCCTTCCGCCAACCTCTCCATCTACATCAACAACACCCAGGAAACGGACTCGGGTCTCTACTTCTGCCATGTCATCGTCCCTGGGGGTCACGGCATTTCTGGAGAGATGCGGCTTAATGTCAAAGGTAACGGTCCACAGCATCAGAAGCATTTCAAAGGTTAAGCGTAATGAGCAAAGTCTGCTTTTGGTTCAGTCATTTTTCATATATATATATATATATAGCTCTATCCAGATGAAAATCATCTGCTGTTAAAGGATCTAATAGGCTCTGAAGTCATTATGTCATCTTCCAGAAGCAGATGGAAATTATGGCAGGGTTGGGTAGGGGGTCATCATATCTACTTATTTTTATTAAATCTGGCTAGTGTCCTGACAAATCGCAACACTTTGGCATGGATTAAAACTAATGCATAAAGTTCCTGAAGCGGCCACAGACGTACGTTCTCATATCCTACGCAGCAGTAACTCAGCCGGTCTGTCTGTGTGTCCAGTCCCCCCCGCCCCCCCTGTGTGCAGCATGACCGGGAACCCGGTGGTGAAGGGCAACGTCACCCTGAGCTGCAAGTCAAGTTATGGGAAACCCACACCTCATTACAAATGGACCAAGGTTGCACCCATGTCTGAGGTCTTTTTCTCACCGATGCAGAGTGAGTATGTTTTCAAGTTTGCAACCTAACAGTATCTAGTCTTTCAGATATTCTTTTTTTTTACCGGCCCAGATTTAGCTTCACCTGTGTTCTCAGTCTTTTCAGTCACTGTTTTGATTGTTTTTCTTAAAGGCATTTTGATTTACAGATCCATAACATTAAACTGTCTAGCTGTTAGAGACAGTTCATGGAACAGAGTTGTTGCCCACTGTTTGGAGGGTCAGTGGTTCAACTCCATGTTCCTCCAGACCACATGTTAAAGAGTCCTGGGGCAATTCTCTGAACCCCAAGTTGCTTACTGGTAGCATCTAGTGTACCCACTAGTGCAACCAGTGTGTGGATGTGTGTGTCAATGATGAACGACATACAGTGTAAAGCACTTTAAATAGTCAGCTTGACTAGAAAAAGCGCTATATAAGTGCATGTACATTCACAAAATCATGGTATCATCACATAATTGATTATTACCCTTCATGCTTACGTGGGTTTTGTTTTGTTTTTTTAACTACTTTTTTTGTTTAGTCAAACCAAGATAACCAAGTATTTTTACAAGGTCAGCACCATTAGGCCATCTTAAAACTTTGATGCTACAACATGCAGTAAAGGAAGTGGACCTCAATAAAATATGAACCTCCCTAAAAACAGGATTTCTGAAGTTCTGGGAGGTCTCTAAAATATTGACAATGTACTGTTTGTGCCTGGGATGTCTGTTTTTTTATAAATCATGTGTAAATTTAGATGGTAATTGTTCTGAAAATACAATATAAAGTTCCTTTTGTTTTGTTTTTTCTACAAGTACATCTCCACATATGACAGAGCCCATAGCACTAACTTAATCCCTTTTCTTTTTCTGTGATTGCATCTTATTCTGAATCAGTACTTAATGTGTAGTCCATGTGCAAGAAAACAAAAAGTGGGCTCTTCAAGTATGTCAGATAGAAATATATGGTGAAATTTCTATATTTTTCAGACTCACTAGATTTACACAGAATATGTTTTCTGGGGAATTCCTGTCATAAAAGGAGAAAACTCAACCATAAATGTGTTCATAAGTGCAGCAATGAACTAAATTTGATAGCTCGTCTGTGAAAAATGTAAATTAAAACAAGATTCAGTGATTTTCACATACATATTATGGGTGATACGTCTTATTATTAAATACAAACACTTCTCATTTTGCATCATGTGGTGGCAGCAGTATGTCTTAAAAAGAATTGGAACAGGGATATCACCTCCTTCATTGACGCCCTAAATGTTTTCAACTGTTATTGTGCTTTCACTTTATTTACAATTTCCGAAACATCTACATTTGCAATTTTATGCAAGTTATATGCAATTTTCTCTGACTGATTCAGGCTATTGGCATCTTGCTCTCAAATATGCAGCTTGAGAGCAAGATGATAGGAAATGCGGTCATGCTGTGTGTGCCCAAATGCCCACTCCACTGTAACTGACCCTCCGCTTTCAAGATTGGTTGGAATGCCAATTCTTGAGGGGTTTAAAGAAAGTAAAAGGAGGACAGGAGTCTTTTAATATTAGTGGCTTTTCTACCTCAGGAAAGGCTAAATTACCAGAGGAATGGTGTCTTAAGATTTTTCTGAAAGTACCATTTTGAAAGCCACACTCAAAATACACCAGAAATGAACCATCACGACCGGCTGACTGTTTGCCAATGCTGCTAGACGATATCTTCGTCACAGTCTTTTCCCAACTCGGAATAAACGCCTGCAGGGTAAGTTGGGTGAATAATTTTGCCTACTGCTGAGGATACCGCAAATCTAGCTCAGAGGGAGATTCTTTATTTTTCATAACATTCAGTGTAAAATCCTCTTTACTGATGGAGACACACAGCACCCCCCCACTTAAAGCGCTGCCCATGGCGGAGAGGAGAAAGGCATGTCATGCATTATTTTATAGATGCGTATTATTTGGAAATTATGCTGCGGAGCAAACACCATCTGCTTCTGTACAACGGGACTTAGGCTGATTGATTGCGTATTGACTTAACTGCTTTGATCCCTGCCCCTCATCTCTTTACAGCCGAAAAGTCCCAAGAATCATAAGATGAAAACTACTCCATTTGATTGTGCATTAATGCAGGCTTTTGTCATGTTATATGCACACTCGAGCCCCCCCATCACACGTGTGCGCATTGTCTAACTTGCATTGACACTAACACTCAAACCGCGTGCTTTTATACACACTGATCATAACTATGATGACGCTTGAACTTTACTCCACCGGTTTAAACCCAGTGCTTTATTTCTGATAAGTCCCACATCATTATTTGGTCAATCAATCCCCAAAAAGGAAAAAAGTTTGATCAGGGACACTCCTCACCACTCCATCCTCTTCCCATAAGTTAGGACCACTCCTTTCCTACCTCTCATTCATGCTTGCTCTCTTTCTGTCATCTTTCTTTCTCACAAAATCCCAGAATGGAGAGTCTGTCCCCAGCCCATACTTGTCCTTGGGTACATGGGTAAGGGTTTTCAGTCATTTCCACTTGCTTACCAAAGTCTGCCCCCCCCCCCTCACCTGCAGTCCTTGACACCCAAATTAAGCATAGTTTCTGGATTCTGCGTTATGTTTCCTGAATTGTAATAAAGCTTTAAAGGAAAAATGTCAACCCAACTTTAAGAAGGCTGATCACCTTAAAAAAGCCTTAGGCATTTAGTCCTAAGAAAAGTCTTCTTTATTAGACATGAATAGATGAAATCATGACATGCTCAATTTTTAAAAAATCGAACAGTTGTAAAACATTGTTGTTTTCTTTAAATATACCCGGCTGTCCATAACTGGAATTTTCAGACTAGTATATAGTTATACTTTGTATAAAGGGTTGAATTTGTCCTTTAATTCTTTATGCGATGTAGGTTGTGTTAGAATTAGCAGTAAATCTATTTCAGTCTGTGACTGTGATGTATTTAGACACACGGTTTCTCAAACATGTCTTAGATTTTTATGAATTCTTTAGAACAAAAAAACATGGACTTCCTAATTATAAGTCATTTTTATTTCAACAATACTTGTTAATTGGATTGGTTTAGAAAATGAATCCATCTTTCTTGGATTATTTTGTAGGATTATTGCTAAAATTCTTAAGGCTCTGATATTTTTAGAACCAGTAAATATTCCAACAATGATGTTTTCCAAAGAATTAACACCAAAGAATTAACACCTTAAAACAGTCAGTTAAAATGACACATTATTATACTCTGCTTTTTAATATAACTCTGCAGGGAATAGAATGTAAAAAAAAAAGTTGACATTGTTTTTAATTACTAAACAGAATAGCAGCTTAACCAACAAACATGCAAGTTTTAAATGTTTCCGTACTTCAAAACATCTTGAGCTCACTAAATTTCTCATTAAAATCTGTAAAACCACAACATATTATTTATGTCTTTCTTCTGTCTGTCTTACAAACAAGCAATCATAGTGAAGAGGCTTGGTCAATTTCGTAATCCAAATTAATGAGTCCGAGCAAGTTCTCCATTTTAGCAATGCTTTATTCACTAATTAGTTGCTGAGTGTCTTCTTTACCACCCAACTATCCAAAACATGGAAATAGTTTGCTGTTGTCTCATTCTAAGAAACTGAATGGGCATGTTTTTTAAAGATTAGTTTGTTGCACAAATTTGAAGAATAATGTCTTATGCTTCACATTAATATCACTATTAAACTCTGTGATTTGCTTGTTAAATTGAGAATAGATTAAAATTTGAGGAAAGAATTGACATGTTTTTTGTGTTTTATATGGTGGAGTTGAAGTGTAGGTCACTTACTAGGAAAACGGCAGCGTTAGTGGTGGGATCATTTTTTTTTGTTTGCTTTATAATGTTAGTTTCATTATACTTTTTCCTACATGTGACTGAAAATATGCATGTTTTATTTTTAAATTAATCAATCAGAGTTTTATGATAGTTCGATGTTTATGGAGTATCAATTGCAAAGAAAATGTGCAGATTTTGTAAATAATTTTCCATTAAAAAAATCCTTTTTCACTTGTGATGGCAGCATAGCAAGAGTTAGAGTCCTCTCTTGATTTAAAGCAGCACTTAGTGTGACGTATGTTTATGAAGCTTTTTTGGTTTGTTTGTTTTTTGTGATAAGTCCTATGTAGTTCTGATGATGTTGGGATCTGATTGGGCTTGAACTAGAGCCAAGCTCCCAGTCAGCTGGCATTTGAATCCTCACAGCTGGGGATACAAGACTATTTGATTTGGAATTCACTTGTATTTTTATCTGCGTGATATAATTAAACGAAAGCCATTGTATTACTGAACTGCTCAAGCGCACGTTGGACGATTTCTTCTGTTTAATGGGTAAAACTAAAATAGGTTTGACAACTGCTTCTGTTTAATTGGTCAATTTGAAATAAGAGTAATAGAAATAAGATTATTTAGCATGTCTGAAAATTTGTATTTTAGAGTTGCAAGATTTACAAAATTAGCTCTCGACTATATTTTCCCTTCTCAGGGCTCACGCCACCTTTCATTCACTTCAACTTTCACTTTTCTGTTTCACAGCAGCTGTTTGGACGCAATGATTAAGGATTTTCTGTTCTCCATTCATTTACTGTATGCTGGAATCATATGAACTTAGAATTTTTCATCTAGGGTGATTTAGAGTCCCTGGGTTGCATTACTGTCTTTTTTTCCCTTTTTTTTATTGCTTTGGGGATTGACTTTGCAGAAACAAGCGGTTGTGCATAACACTGGCCCAGCTGACCGTCTACATTCATAGTCCAGTGTAATTTCATGACACAGATGCAGCATTTACTCATGTTGCAACAAAAAGAAAAACGCAGCAGATGAAGACATGCTGCAATGTGATGTCTCAGATTAGATTTCAGAGGATTTGTTGTGATAAGTCCCTCATGAAGCTTGTCTATTTTCCACAGCCTGTGTTTGTAACACAGCATTTTAGAACCAGATGTGCTAAGCAGAGGAGGGGTGTGTGAAGGACTCAAACACACAGTGTTATGTATCATGACAACACAGTGATCAAACCTGAACAAAGATAATTGCATGATTACTATTCTGCCAATGTAAAATATGGACATAGTTCAAATTTAAATGCTAAACAGAAGCTGCTGCTGAAAAAAATTCAATGTGTGCAATCGGTGCAATAATGATTTCATTTAAAAATATACAAACAATATCAATACTCAGTGTGACAAATTTGTGTTTGTGTCTTTTGCAAAATAGTTTCCATTGTGCAAATTCCATAATAATAAGCAGTTACTACCCGTGTTGTTCGTTTGACTTTGACTGATGAGCTTTCATGAGGAAAAAAAAAACAAAGGAAAGATACTCTTTAGTTTAATGGTGTGATTTATTTGCAGATGAGCGACACGGGACACTCAGACTGAGCAACCTCACCAAAAGCATGTCAGGGAAGTACATCTGCCGAGCCAGCAACACGGCCGGCTCAGACAGCTGCTCCATCAACCTGGAGGTTATCACCTGTAGGTAGCCCTCAGAAACATTCCGTACTACTGTTACACACCACGGCCCAGATGAGAGCGGGTCTAAATGCTGTTCCTGTGATGCCTTCCAGCTTCCAATGCGGGAATGATTGCTGCAGCTACGCTAGGGTCAGTAGTGGGACTGGTGGCCATGGTGCTCTTCCTCATATTTATACTGAAAAGGCGACGGGACTCGGAGGAGGAGATAGCCAACGACATCAAGTGAGAGTTCGATCATACACACAGCTGTTTTTGTGAGGAAAAAGACGCTCATGTGATCCATGCGTTATATTTAAAAAGATAAAATGCTTAGATTTCCAACTGTGAATTCAGTATTATTTTTATTACTGTGACATGATTAACTAAAGCTGTGTTCATTATGCTGAATGTGGATCATCTTTTTTTAAAGCTTTTTTAAACTAACTTTAAAGAGAAATGTCCTTTTTTTTTACATGCACTCTGCCATCCTCCATGTTTTTATGCGCCAAAAGGGCAGAAGAATCAACCTTTTGCTTTGAATAATTACACTTTTCCAGTCATTTGTTCAACCTGCCACACTTTCAAACATATAAATATAGTTCATAGTAAATATATTTGAAATTTATCAAAGAAGAGAATGCCTTATTTTTCTGTTCAAATATAATATATTGCCCCTTATCATTTTCAAAAGGATCTTTGATAAATATATAAATCACACAACTCTACAAAGTGTGATCTTGTTCATGTGAAAAATGGTATATATGACATACGCTTTTTAAAGCATTTCTATTTTTCTTGTATTTCTCTAACCTACAGGGAAGACGCCCAGGCACCAAAGCGAGTGTCGTGGGCAAAAAGCAACACGGGCTCAGACATCGTGTCCAAAAATGGCACGCTTTCCTCCATAGCCACCAGCCCTCGATCCCGGGAGCTGCACCAGCCCAGCTTTCCGTACCCATACTCCCCCATGTCTGCGTCCGACACCGGCTCGGTGATCAACGCCTTCCAGCTGCGGCCCGGGGAGGCCAACTCCTTACAGGGCCTCCCCGGATACAACCTGGGCAGCACTCCCGTACGCAAATACAAGCGACCGCTCAGCGCCAACGGATGCCCCCCGCAGGTTCACAGGAGTCCCATGGTCAGCGTCCCCAAAAAGACTGAGGGGGCTCAGCCTCAGGTTCTCCCCCCGCTCACCGTGTCCCCGCAAATCAGCTCCTCCACCCTCACGCGCACGGGGGCCGTGGCCGTCATGGTGCCTGCTCACAGCCAAGCCGGGTCTCTGGTGTAGCCGGAGGTCAAAGGACAGACGGGGGAGAATGCCTTCAGCTGGGGAGAATGTTCTCCACCCAGACCCGAGGGGTCACCTGAGAGGTCACCTGAGAGGAAAATGTCCGGCGGACGGTATGCGCTTCATTTGCTCAAACTGCCCCTTTTGGTTTCTACACCATATCGACTCCGTGCAGTGTTTGTTTTGTTTTTTTGTCGTTTTTCTTTTTTATGCTGCATTCAGACTGACTAAAGACAAATGCATTTTTATTTAGACGCCTACAAACAAATCCCTGAGATTAGACTCCAACGCAGTTCAGTTTTTCAGTCAGACCATCCTGTTCACTAGAGGTTTTTTGCAGTTGTTGCGGAGTATTTTTGGCTACATTTGTAAAAGTTTGTATGATAACCTGACGTTTTTTTTATTTCACCTTACCCGTGTGGATCATTCTTCTGTCTCTTTTCTGAGGCTAACGCTATCCAGCCCGTCAAAAATTCAGGTACTTTCATTTACTTTTCTTTCTTTGACCCACATTGACATTTTGTTTGCTTAAAGGTTGTTTCATTTTATCTGTTATTACAATGTCGGACTATGTTCATGCGATGTTCTGAGAGTGCACAGTATTTTGCCTGTTATGGTACAGCGATTGTAGCCAAACTAGTGAGTATTAGTTTGTTGAGGTCGATTTCTATATTTTCTAAAGTGCTTGGTTAAAATTCATCCCAGCAAAACTACGTGGCCATTGCTAAGTATGAACCACAAAGTATAAAGCAGGAGATTCTCCTGGATGATCCCATCTGCTGAGCCCTGAAACAACGTGGCAGTGGTTTATCAATGTTGACAGGCTACATGTGTTCCTTTCAATGCAGTTCTGGATGTTGACAGATTCTTTTTTTTTTTTTTTTAATAAAGTGTTTCGGGAATGTTTGACTGCGTTACAAAAAGACTTGGTGTGGATGCAAACAGCGGCTGGAATGAGAGGGCCACAGCAAGCTCATAGTTTTTAGGAAAGTAGAGATTTTTATTTTAGGAGTGTGATTGCAAACTCAAAAAACATTTCCATTATTCATCAGACTACAGACAAGAAAAAACAGAGTACAGTTCCTTTGCAATAACCATGATATAAAGACGGAGTGAAAGGCCACGTGGGAACAGATGCTGACACTGCAACCAAACACTTTTTTTGAAACACTGAAGTTGATGTGGAATCGTTTTTAAAAAAGTGTCGGGAAAAACAAACAAACAACTGAACACTTGATGCTGTATATTTATATTAGAAAAACCGTAGTATATTTAGCTTCTTGTCACTACTGGAGGTTTAGGAAGAGAAAATGTTTCGCAGTAACAACATAAAAGCTTTATTTCTATCATTCAGCAGACGGAATTTAAGCAGCTACTTTTCACATGTTGCGATTTGCTTTGTCTCATTTAGTTGCAACTACAAACTGAATGGTAGTTATGGTATGATTGTGTGTCATTTTGATGCCATCGTAGGATTAAAGAGTTTCTAAAAAAAGTCTTTCTTTACTTGCAGGAGTTTTCTAAAAATGGAAATTTGGGGGGATTTGCACTGGTTAACCGCCTGTTCAGAAACATAAGGCAGATCAGGACCAGCCACACAGTAACAGACCAGATGTGAAAACCACAACAACGTGGTGAACTAAAGACCTGGGAGAAAGGATGTATCACGACTCTGCCAGCAGATTTCTGGAAATGATCATCCTCATCACCTCGTTGGTTCCTTTTGGGGAAACAAAAAGAAATGACACAGACTGAATTGGAACTTTGCTCCAGTCTTTTTAGATGTTAACACAGGAGAAATATTCTGGTATGCCAAAGACCAATAACACTCAGAAAAACACTCACACGACAGAGAAAAGTTCGTAAAAACCTACCCTCCAGGATCTGATGGACTCTGATATCTCGCACATACTGCTGCACTGCGTAGTCCTTCAGATAACCGTAGCCACCGTGCATCTGAAGAGCCTGGTTGCAGATCTGTTGAGGAAGAAAAGGGCAAACTGTTGACAGGGATCCTCCATTTGGTCTGACATGTGTTATTATTAAAAGGCCTTAAAAAATGCATCATTAAAAAGCTTTGCTGAAAGTGGACAGAGGCCGGCTCTCTGCGGTATGAGAATGCTGGTGGTGACACCACTGAGGCCAAAAAGCAAGTTTGTGGCTTTTTTTTCCCTTTTTTTCGATGGTCCATCAGCATTTCAGAAATAGACCGATCAAATAATCCTGCGTGTAAGTGATGAACAATCAGTAATATTGCATCCCCATAGGGGAAACAAAGAGTAAGAGGTTTAAAAGTATACCAGAACAGAGACTTTGTTTTGGATTCAGACTCCACGTGTCTGATTTGTATTTTGTACTCGATGTTGTCCCAGATAAATAATAAATAAACATAAATGATAAAAGCTGAGTATCATACAACTGGATTTTCTGATCGTTTGACCTTTTCTTTTCCTAAATGAAGATATTTGATCAAAGTAAAAAAAAAGAAATTGGGTACCTGCACACTACAGGAACGGTTTTCTTTTTCTAGATTTGGGAAAATAAACATCTTAATACTGGGCCGCACTCACGTTAAAGCACTCGTCTGTGACGAAGAGCTTGGCCATGGAGCAGAGAGACACAGCATCCGCCCGCTTCTCCTGTAGCGCCGTCGCTGCCTCGCGCACCAGAAGCCGAGAAGCCACCAGCTTGGTGGCCATTTCTGCCAGCTTGAACTGGAGAAACTGCACGCATACACAGAGGAAGAAAACCTCTAAACAATTACTGCCCAGCCAAGAACTAAGTGGTAAATTCTTAACATTTTTTTAATCTTGTGAGCAGCCCACCTGGTTGTTGGCAAGTGTTTCCCCAAACTGCTTGCGCACCAGCAGGTGATCCTTTGCTAGCAGCACACTGGCATGTGCAGCCCCCAGAGAGCAGGAGGCTGAAAGCAGAGGGATGGGTCACCACCAACAAGCAAATGTCAGTAAAAGTCAGTTTTCAATCGGGAAAGATCATTTGCTAGTTTCAAATCAGTAGTGCTTTTTGAACAACCCCCAAGATGTTTTTAAATGTTCGACAGGAGCACTAACCCAGAGAACTCGAACAGCTACAAAAGTGATGCTCAGAAATGCTTTTCACAACTTCTGAATTCAACTTTTTATTCAGGAGAACACGCGTGGACTAATCCAATCATACTAAAACCTTTAGTCGTGCCTTAACAAGCTCACGGCAACACTGCAGTTTACTCAGAATTTATGCAAAAATGGATGCCGTGAGGCTAATTCAAAGCTGATTAAAACTAAACGTCAGATGAAAATTTTATCTGAAATATCTAGAAGTCAACTCGTCAAGTTTTGGGAAAACATTTTTAAAGGAGTAAAAGCCGCACATGTCAGAAATAATTGGACGGAAGCTGTTGACTACAGTGACTTCACAGCAGGGAAAGTGAAACATGTTTCTTACTTGATTCAGGATTCCAGCTGCTCAGAGAGGGCTCGTTTCTGTCATGTCCAATATTTCAAAATGATTTGAAAATTCTTTGCGGGGAATAGCTTAAACTGGCACTGGGGCCTGGCCAGTTTGGCTCTTTTTGGAGCTATACGGTTGTAATATGTATAATATGGATTTCCTCCAAACAGACATCTGCACATGAATATGCAAAATCTGATAACAAGGAATACGATTTTTGGCATGGTTTCTATCATTGCCCTACCTTAAGTGACCACAGTTAGAGCTAGCTTTGGTTTCGTGCAGGTAAACGGGTCATATTGACAATAAAGGACAAACAAAGGATGTGAAATCTATCTTCCCCCCTCACCAATATTAATCCTCCCTCCATTCAGGCCTTTCATGGCGATGTTGAAGCCCTGTCCCTCCACACCCAGCAGGTTGGTCACTGGTACCGCACAGTCTTCAAATATCACGGCTCTGGTAGGCTGAGAGTTCCAGCCGACCTGCAGGAAGAAGAGGGCAACGGCTGAATCAGAGTGGCTCGCTTCTGCCATCTAGTGGGTTCCTGAGGACAGACCAAACAGATCAGGGGATCAACAGGGGGCTTCACCTTCTTTTCTTTTTTCCCAAAATTGAGGCCTGGCGTTCCCTTCTCCACAACCAAACATGAGATGCCTTTTGGTCCTTTGCTTCCTGTCCTGCACATCACCACGTAGACGTCTGTGTCTCCACCCCCACTGATGAACGCCTAAAAGGTCAGGGAGGAACAAGATGGTGGCTGTCACTTCAGTTTCACTGAGCAGACGCTGCATGAGGAAAGAGACGGTTCCGGTACCTTAGATCCGTTTAGGATGTAATGGTCACCTTCTCTCCTAGCAGACGTCAGCAGCGAGGCGGCGTCGCTGCCACTGCCTGAAACAGTCGTCTCACATCAGACCAAAGTTGTCGGATGCAAACAGGATATTTTCGAGGAAAAGAAACCGCTGCGCTACCTGGCTCAGTGAGACAATAAGATGCAAACTTTTCCATGGAACAGAGATCAGGACAGAACTTCTCCCTCTGCTCGTTATTGCCGAACGTGTCGATCATCCAGGCACACATGCTGCAAAGAAATGACAGAATACCACATTTAGATAGGAAAAATGAAAAAAGTAAACAAGTCTTTCATACTGGAGGTTTAATGTTTTAACATTCTTTCCATACAAACACTAGAAATGTTTTAATAAATGACTATATTTTGTCTCTCTGTATAATAAGAATCAAAATCAAGCTTTAAACCACATCAAGCTTATTTTAAACCATCAGAATGATAAACTACAAAAGAGGCAGAATCTTTTTCTGTACAAAGTATGTTGCGCCCATACTTGTGGATACTGATGTAGGCTGTGGTGCTCACACATCCGGTGGACAAAGCCTCAAAGATGACCGACGTGTCCAGACGAGAAAGGCCCGATCCTCCAACATCTGGTTGAACATAGATCCCACCAAACCCCAACTGGGCGGCTTTCCTCATCGTCTCAACTGGGAAGATTTCCTTTAAAGAAAGATAAGAAAAGTAAAAAAATAAATATAACAACAAAATTATGCTTAAACCCTACAATGTCCAAAAGTAAACATGGCTGAAACTTCTCTGTTACTTAGTTTGGTATATGTAATGTCATGGCTATTTCATTTTGTCAATCCTTAAACCAAAGTGCATCAATCCAAGGATTTATGGGGGTACAATATCTTAATTATTCTTACACAACAGGGACGTTCTTGTTGACGACACAGAAAGGTCAAAAAAACAGTGGAGGACAAACGAACAGATCAAAGGGGGATAGAAATTATTTTGAGAAGAATATATGCAGAAATATTAATTTTGTTCCCAAAAACTGATGGAGAAGAAACAGTAACTAAAAAAAGGTTAATGATAACATCCACAAAGTACAAGACTTTAAATTACAGCAGTGAATCAAACAAAATAGTTGACAATAACATGCTTAACAAAAAACACTATTCAACACTATACACTATACAACTTTTTATTTTATCATATTACCTTTTGGTCCCACTCGGCCATGTGCGGAGCCATTTCATTGGCCGCAAAGTCAAAAGCCACTTTTTGAAACTCCTTCTGTTCATCTGTGAGTCCATAAGCAGCTGTCAACAGAGCAGAGGGCGTTCAGAACGTTCAGAATATTGTTTTAAAGCACATGTGGATGACAGATACTGCAGACAGCTGCAGTGATTTTACATGCATGCCGTTCCATTTCTGTGAAAACAAAGCAGAACAGCAAAGCCTACGTCCAATATGTCCGAGAGTAACTAATCCATTATTATTAGTATTAAGTTAGAAGAGTATATTGCTACAATGAGAGGAGGGGCGGTGTTACGGAGGGGCGTGTTGCCCACAAAGACTGCTGACTGGATGGCCAAAGACAGCTGACCAATGAAAGCTAGCTGAGAGATGGGACGCGTGAGAAATGCTGTTATTTCCACCAAAACGTTGTTAGTTTGGGTCCAGCAGGGCTCTGAATGACATTAGCTTGTTAGCTAAATAAGTTACAGCTTCCACTCAGAAGTGCTAACTAACACAGCTGTCTTAAAAAAATAACTCTCTCAATTCTTGTTTTTCGAAACTTACGGTCGATACATGAAGCTATTCCTCGTCTCTGTGAGATTCTGCCCAGCATCAAACGATGGTTTCTGCAGATGTCTGAGCCTAACCTGGCGATTCTTGATAGGGACCCCACCACAGCCATCTTTACCTCTACAATGGATAGTTATGTCAGTAAACCGCTAGGGCTGTTGGGAAATGTAGTTCTACAAGATGCGGAAGTAAGAGGCGGGATTTCTCGATGTGCGCAGCTTCCCCCTGGGTCCGACTCTGACGTGGTTCGGGCGGAGATAGGATAAATGCCAGTCTATCGATAACGTTTGTGAAAAAGAGTGAAAGTAATAATACTCATCATGGAAACGTTGTTTAACTGCATTGTTATAGACGACCTCAAATATTAATTTCTATATACATGACATAGGATCCAATATTACTATCTCCAGTTTCAAATAGTAAGCTACTAACATCCTATGGAAATATATATGCTTTTTATTCTAAAAGCTGACACCATTTTGAGTATGACTTCTGCTTGTTGCGGTAGCACCGCCGGAGTGCCGTGGGCGGAGCTGACAGGAAACCGGCGGAAGCCGGTAGATTAATTAAGCGCACCGAGAAGCCTGTTGATGTCACACGTTGCGGATTTTTCGCGGGATTTGAGGACCTGCTGCGCCGTTCCGGTGAAGGTATGGCCCTGGTCTTTAGAGTAGTGGTCACGTCGAGAGCTTCGAGCTTCGAGCTTACACTGTCTAATGTTATTGTGTCTGCCACGTGAGGTGTCCTTCACGTGGCTGCACGGTTCTTCTGTCGGGGAAGGCCGTAATTCATTTGAATGTTGAAACTTCATCAAACAAAACTGTTTAATCATGTTTTAGAAAAACGTGACAAATATGTTGTTGGTTTTGGTGTTGATGCATAAAAAACATGCATTTATTTGACGTGGCCAACACTAATGCAACTGGTTGAGGAAGTTTGAGTTTTCTACCATTTAATCTGCCATTGCTGTTGAAAATCACCGCGATTAATATTATTGCAAATCCCTGTTAAAATCGTGAAAAAGATTAATGAAGTCTGTTAGAAAAACATGAAGATACCAGTCTTCTGTTTTTTAGTTGGCACTATCATGACATCACAGTACTCAAGCATGTGGATCTTTACAGACTGAGAGACATGCCTCCAAGGAAAAAGGCCAGAACCAGTGAAACAACTGCAAGCTCAGGTAAGCAAATGAAGTCATCGTTAGACTTCCTGTCGTGTTTGTTTATCTAATAACTGCTGTGACTTTGCAGGCGGAGAAGCGGCACCCAAGAGGAGAAAAGTCTCAGTTGGAAAGGATGGCTCCAATTCTGCGGGCTCTCCGGAGCACAGCCACTGGCTGATGAAGTCTGAGCCCGAGAGCCGCTCCGAGAACGGCATCGACATGAAGGTACGAAGCCTCCCAGCCTCATGGAACTTTGATGACTCTCCTGTGATTTTTTTTTTTTTTTCATGCTTTACCCTGCAGTTTGGCATAGAGGATCTGAAGGCTTTGCCCAATCAGACCAGCTGCTGGGACGGCGTCCGCAATTATCAGGTAAAAGCAGAAAAAAAACGGAGTCCTTCCTCCAAAAAATGCTCACGCCAGAAGTAAGAGGCCGACGCAGCGCCTCCCCACTGAAGCCGCTTTCGGCCCGTTGCCACAAGCATTTAGCCATTAATCTTTCAAGAGGACAAACTATTTGCTCAGACTACCATTTGTAGGCTCGCAACTTCATGAGGCAGATGAAGGAGGGGCAGCTGGCCTTCTTCTACCACAGCAACTGCAAGGATCCGGGGATCGCGGGGCTCATGAGGGTGAGAAGCTCTCTCTTTATTAAAGCATTCCCCCCAAAAAATGACTCGACACTGAGCTGGGCTTCATGTGCAGATTGTGAAGGAAGCTTACGTGGACCACACTCAGTTTGACAAGAAAGACGTCCATTACGACGCGGGCAGCAAGCCGGACAACCCCAAGTGGAGCATGGTACCAACACGAGGCCACACACCCGGGCTCGTACCGGTGGGGGCCGGTGACTGACGGGGCTCGTTTCCTCCTCTCAGGTAGATGTTCAGTACCAGAGAATGCTGAAGCGTTTCCTCCCCCTGTCCGAGCTGAAGAAGCACCACCTGCAGCACCGCGCCGGCGGGGGGCCTCTGAGGGACATGGCACTCTTCACCAGGGCCCGGCTCTCCGTCCAGCCCCTGACCCCCGGTACGGAGGGTCAGGGGCTGGACCTGCGTTGACACGCAGTCCTCGGTTGGCAGCGACTGACTGTTTTTTTTTTTTCTTCTCTCTGCAGAGGAGTTTGACTTCATCCTGAGTCTGGAGGACCAAGAGCCTTTGTGAGGATTGTCTCCATTCTGTGTTGAGTAAATGTCACTGTTGTATTCTTTTGCTATAATGATATTAAATGTGTTCTGAGTGGCTCAGACTTCATATCTAAGATTCATTTTGCCATAAAAAAAGAACCAACTCCTGTTATGATGTAAGGCATAAGCAGATGTTTGCGGTTCTTTATCCAGTAAAGATGTCTCACTTGCATCCCAAAAAAAGACAAAAATCCCAGTATGCTGTCGTTGGTGAGTTAGTAGTGACGTCACTCTGAACATCACAAGTTATATTTTACTTTATTTGACTCAGAAAAAATCTGTGGAATCACTGTTAAAGTCAATTACTTAAAAAAATAAAAGTGAAAAAAACTAAATAAAAGGACTATTTGTAAGAACAGAATATAACCCTAAATGTTGTTTCAGGAACACAAACCTAACACGACCTGACTGTAACAAGAAAGTGGAGAGCACAGAGAGAAAAGGTTAGAAATCTGCTGTCCGTTAGCACCCGTGTGACATGAGGCAGCTCCTCCTCGGCCCGGACTGTCAGGACCGGCTGTCCGTTCTTCTGTGGCTGCAGTGGGGAGCTGACGTGGCTTTTTCTGACGACTGGATGCTGTCAAAGTTAATTCCAAGATATTCCCTCCAGATCCGCAGATCTGTTTTTGTGGCATTTCTGTGTTGGATCTCCTTTTCAAAAAGTGATGACAGTTTTTTTTTTTTTTTCTTATCTTGTGTGGCGTCTAGCTGTGTGAGGAATAGAAGGTCAGCAGTAATCTAAACGTACACTACAGCTCCAGAGTTTTTGTTCCAACCAAAGTAGATGTGGAGAGTCAGCCTGAAGCATCCTCACAAAAATAAAGAAAACTCTTAATGAAGCGTCCCCAGTTCACCCAGGGACTAGTTTCTTCTACTCAAAGTAACATAAAGATGCACAAAAGCTCGAGGCAGATTTTGTCTGGTGGTTTTAAAGCCTCAGACAAGTTTTATGATGGTGAACAGGGCCCACTTAGACATCTCATACTGAAAAATCATCTTTTCTTAAACTAAGACAGAAATAAATGGTATCGAAAAAGAGTTGATCAATGAGACAAATTCTAAATGGATGTATGTTGCACTGTTAAACTCTTTGCATACGTGAAGAATGCGGCTCTACTTTGTACTTCTGTTTTCCAGCATTTGAATTCAGGCTCATGGCGACACACAACACATTCACTCGTTTCTGCAACAAAACAGCGGCTGAGTTTTCCATTTGGCATCAATTTATTGGAGTTCTGGGAACAGGGATGTTGATTAGCATTTTTGCAAAAGATAGATAATTCTAAAGTAATTTTCCTCTGGTTAGAAGACTAAAATCATGTTAGAGGCAGGAAGATTTAATATGCTTATTACACAACATAGGCACAACTTTCAAGTCTCAAATAACGAGTATATAGAAGACTCTGTAGGATCAGACCTCGGTAAAAACACTGACACCCTTTCCTAACACCATTGGAATGCTGAGGTAAAGCACATGGAGTTGAGAAGTCGTTTTGTAGCACAGCATACTGAATAATCATTGTATACAAGCTGGAACAGGATTACAGATTTAACTGGTCTTATTTACATAATAAAAAAAGGAGAAAAAAAAGTGGGATAATACTTTAGGCATCCTACTCAAATAGGAACAATATTCCAGTTTCTATCTCCGACATTTAGTTAAAAAACCACAAAAAAAGCATGATCAGCGAGATAAACCAGTGCAAAGTTAGTTGACCCTATATCGATGTTAGGAATGCGCGCATTAAACGTGGAATGTCAGATTGGCCTGTTTGTAAGAGTCATGACAAAACATTTATTATAATAAAGAGACCAGAAATCAATTAATCCCAAAAGCATTAGAATGTAACAAACAAAGCCTTAAAAAAATGCAAGAATTTCATATGATCTCACTCAGCAGACGTCGTGACAGGTGATTAGTTTAATTATTGTACAGAAACACAAAATGCGTGTGAAGGACGAGACCAGCAGCCTGAAGATACTCTGACCGCTCCATGCAAACGCTTTAATAGTTCACACACACTAAAAGTGTGTGAAGTGTGTGTGTGTGTGTGTTGGTCTCCCTTCTTCCTCCTTTCCACCAGCCGCGGCTCACACAGCTGCCTTGCCAGATGTTGCACAGTTGACAGGTACCTCCGCCAGTCTGGAGCAGATGCTGACGAGTCTTGGGGGGGGGTTTAGCCGCTCTCCTCCTTTGCGGCCTGCTCCAGCGCGCTCTCTGAGGCCGCCGAGCCCTCAAACCTCTGAGAGGCGATGGCGGCCTGGTGGGACATGCTCTTCCTCACCACATCGCCTTTCCTCCACAGTGTGATTTCCTACGAGGGCGGAGAGAACGGGAGCGGAGGTTTAAATCTGTGCATGCTGAGGATTTTTACGTCTTTATACTCAATAATGCTTTTTGAGAGATAATTAACAGATAATTAACGGATCAAGCAGGAACAATAGTTTATTTCTTAGATTTACCAAAAGCATATAAATGACTTAAAAAATAAATGAACATTCAGAATGATTTAGAGATATTCCAACCTGTGCCTATTTGAAATGAAAGGGTTCTCTCACCCAATAAAAGTAAAAGTATCAGGTGACGATGATCCTAAATCGAGCAATGATGGAAAAACATTTAATTTTCTGTTTCCAGACACGGAGAAATCAGATGTCCTCAGGACATTTTCCACTCTGCTGCTTAGTACGATAGCCAGAGGCTCTGCAGATGAACCGCGTACCAGCGCAGCAGCTAAACATCTGGAACAGTTACGCAGCCGGTGCAGGTGCTGAAGGGCTGCTGTTTTATGCTCCGTTCTGCTGACCTGCACACTTCGTTCAACCTGGTGTGAACAAAAGCTCCCTCCTGTACAGCACAAACAAACACGGCGCGGGCACCCGCTTCCCTCTCTGCTCAGGAGGTGAGAGCACGTCTCCAGACCTCCTGCTGTGAGGAGCGCTTCCTGAACGGCTCCAGCGTTGGTCTGTTGAACACATCCCTATAATACGGGGCTTCCGACCCCCGCTTTCCACTGTGCCCTGCGACAACGTTCGGTTGGACCCACAGAGAAAAGCCCACCTCTGTTGTGATGCAGCTTCATCTATAATGCAGCAGCCTGCTGCCGGTGGTGACCACAGCCAGAGCCGGAGCGGCCTGCATCAGCGTGCACGCCACGTTTAAAGAGAGAAAACCAGAGGGGCCGCTCAGGAGAAGCAGCTGCGTCGACACAGACGCGACAACTGTGTTGCAATAAAGCAGCGATTCCAGCGTAGGGCAGCGACCCGGACCGGGTCTGTGAGCTCAGCCCATAAACAAAGAACCAGAAACTAAAGGCAGCACTGCAGGTGGAACTCTCCTCTGGCTGGACCGTCCGCAGAGCGTCTCTAACTGCTGCATTACAGCTGCACCAACACTCCATCCACTCATATCGATCGGGGGGACCGACAAGCTCATTTTTAGGTGACATGAGTTTAAAATATTTAATGGACTGTTGAAGATCAATTTTAGAAATCAATACGCTCCCATGTTGTGGAATAAATTTGTTGCTGGGGCTGATGTTTAATCCGTTGAGGCCAATGGGAGACAGCATGGGTGTGATTATGACAAGAAAAAACATCTGTTTTTAAGTCTTCTGAGGTATCGTCGGGGGTCTTTTCAATGTAGATTGTTGCACGTGCTAACATGCCTCTGCCCCAGAAATGAAACTATGTTCACAGTTTTAGAAAAGCAAGGCGTCACATCCGTATGCAGGTCGGAGCAAGACAGGATCGCCCGAGTGGGACACAGACACAATGGCCGACGCGTCTCCTACCTGCTGTTTGAAGTAGCGTCTCTCCTCCTCATCTATCAGCACCAGGTTCAGGTAGTAGCGCACAGAGAACTTCTTGTTGATGTCTCGCATGGTGGGAGTCAGATCGTATCCCGCCAGGAATAATCGAATGGGGATGGACTCCCCTGATCAATGAAAGGCAGAAAAAAAAAAAACATCATGCAAGGTCGGACTGGAAGTTGCGTGAATAAGGACGGGGTTTAGTGCGCGACATTTTTTTAATGTCGCTTTGAATAAGTGGTGTTTACCCCTGACCGGTGCTCCGTCCATAATCTCATACTTGGCAATAGTGTCGTTTTCGTGGTATACACTCGGGCCGGTGCCCGTTGTCTCCCGCTTGATGATGTCGATCTCCATGTGCTTTATCTTAATCCTCACCAGCAGGAAGTAGATTTTTCCAACAATAACATCTTTCAGATGGTATCTGTCAGAAAGGACAGGAGCATGAAAGTGTGTAAGAGGAGGACTGCTGTTTAGGAAGTGAAACCAAAGTTCATTGTTTAAGTATTTTGGTGTTGCTTCTCCACTATGTTTTACATCCCCCAGTTGAATAGAATAGAAATAGGTAAATTAGCTGGTAAGTTAATAAAGGAAAAACACAAACTTATTTTAAGAATATATTGCTTCAATTCTGCTCCTTTTAAACATAAGAATGTGATTTTTTTTTGTTTTTTGTTATTCCTTTACAACATGCCTCTGCTGCCAACAGATGCATGTAAAATAGAGTTTGCTGCATCCAAACAAGCCTCACCTGGATTTGTTGTACTCAAACTCGATGTGCAGGCAATCCTCAATTCCAACCTCCATCTTGATGGAGGAGTTGAGTTCGGGGTAGGTGCTCAGTGTGTGGACCACAATGTCCATCTCTTTACTGATGTCATTTAGTCTTCTTATCACCGTGGCACGCAGGAAATATCTGAAAGTTGGACAAACGCGTTCTGACATTTAGGCCCGTACTGCAGGTGAAATGTAGCTGAATCAAGGGTCAAATATTCAGTTTCAGTGCATGACATGCAGGTTAAAAAGTGACTCTTAAAGTCACCCATCTCACCGTCTATAAAGAGTCAATAATCAAACTCACCTTAGCTTGACATTCTGGCCTGTGTAGGACTCGTAGGGCTTCTCAACATGAGTGAACTCAAAGTCGAAAGTCTGCGACTGAGTAATTTCACCAGGTCTCGCAAGATCTTTAACCAGGGAAACAAATTCATGATGGTTTCCTCTGTCGTAATACAGCTCTGGAAAAGGAAGTAAGGGAATTCAGTTTAAACTTTCATTAAAACTGGACATGCTATTAAGTAATGTAAAAAAAAGGTTTCAATAGAACACTTTAATAAAGCCTTCGTTCTTTGTGTTTCAGCACAGTTTTAACTTTTTAATTGTTTTCCCTTTTAGGACAGCAAATTCTGTTGGAGGAAATGTCTAAGTAATAAAGCTGGGGAAGTTTGTTTGAGATATTGTGGAATTATGTAGCTATATTCCCTTAGGTAACGCAAAGAGGGTCAAAATAAATAGGAGTGTAGAGTCAATTACACGCAAAGATTTTGACACGTCCCGAAATCATTATGTTCAGGTGCCTTGTTAGTTTGCCCACATCCTTTCACACCTGTACAGGAAACCTAAAGTGTTCTGGAGATGTTCCAGACGGGTTGCAGATTGAACACAATCGTCTGAACTCCCTGCAGAGATTTCACCACCAGACAAATGTTTCAAATCTCTGGGGCATCAGCAGTGTTACATTTACAAACGGTGACAGCTTTTCCTGCAGTTTAGGTGAAACGCAGCATAAGAGCTACAGTGGAAACAGACCGAGAGATAACTGAAACAGGAAGACACTGGGTACTCACGATGACGCATCAGAAATGCGTGGCACAGGGAGCCCCCACCCAGAAAGTGCCAGTTACAATCAAGTACTTCTAACAGTACATATGAATAGTGTCAGGGACCAGAATCCTCTACAAACCAATAGTTCCCTTCTAAATGTTCTTAGGATCAAAATATAGACATCACCATATCAAAAAAGAGGTTCATTTTTAGTTGACTTGTTTGGATCATTCTTGTTATCGTGTTTAGATAGTTACATTTTTCAGATAAAAGACAAATAAACTAAAGTCTGTGAACCACTTCAGATAAAAAGCTACAACTATCAAAGGCTTGTATTCAACATTTTTCCCGTCAAGGAGAAGAAAAAAACTCAAACATGCTTTTCTTTTTACTGAAGAGCACCATAACGTAACAGCCTGCTGCATTTATTTTAATCTCTATAACTAAACATCCAGAAATCTGGAGCTGTGTCAGAGGAACTGGAGTTGGAACACATTATTTGAGCCTTCTCCTTCAGTGAACGGTTTGATTACTTTACAGCTAAAATAGATTTAATCTCATCACAACAATCTGCATGCACAATGACACCATTTATTTGCCATGTCTCATAAGTAGGACAGACTTGTTGAGCTCTCTTCTATTCTTTGTCCTGCCTTTATCAAGTTAATTTGGGGCAGTCTGGTCACATTTTACTCTGTACTTTTTTTGTTTCCTTGGCCTCTACCCTGGATGCCTTGCATGCCTTCTGCATAGCATTATATGTCATCTAATAACTTAAAGGCGTTGAAGAAATAAACATTATCAGAGGCTTCTCATAGTTACAGGAATACTAGAATCTTTGTTAAATTGAATATATGGATAGGTCAAGTTTAATCAGTGTGGTTTTACTTTTCCACCCACCTATTTGGCCTACAAATTCAATCTTGATGCCGTGGTGCTCCAGCCTCTTCCCTGGGTTCTTCAGAGTAACATTCACCTTTCCACTGACTGTCTCGCCGTCGTAGAAAAGAAAGTATTTGTCTTTCTTCCCATCTTCGGTCTTGTGTTCAACCTTCTTCCTCGTTTCAGCGTCGTTGAGGACAACATCGATCTCAGCACTTTGTCCAAAACCGAAGAAACTCATTATAACCCCCCGTCTGCGCTCACTCTTATCGCATGCAAGTTATTCTTATAGGGACGTTTTCTTCGACTTAGGTAGCAAACTAATGCAAAGAGGCTGCCTCGGTTTCAAATGAGAAAACTAACACACAACAAGGCCTGCGGGGTATGAGAGCCCAGTTCCCTCTCGGAGAATAAAATGGCACAGTCAGGCATAGAAAAAGTCCACTGATATGTTACAACTGTAAACTCAACTTAAGCTACATGTCCATACTCACGGCAAACTAGCAACACGACGGCTAAACGAAAACGTTCGTTATTATGTCCATAGGCAAATGAGCCTTTTCCTTTTTTCCGCTAAAGGACCTACGGTCACCATTCAACTAGCTGTAGTAAATATCAATCTGCAGCCGACACAAATCACAAAACGGAAATAAATTTACATGTTTGTGCTCTGACAGAGAAGACACTGAATGTTGTCAAACGATCCAAATGCAACGTTAGCTTACGCTACCTGCTTTGGCTAAACTACTTCCGGGTACTATTATTCAAAATAAAACCGGAAGTGAGATATCTGTGAGTTCAACAAATGATAAAATAAATGTTTTCACATGGGCATCCGTATCCCACCACAGGGTGAGGGGCACAATGTTCTAACTGTTAGAGGTGTTAAATAGTTCCTTATAAAACATAGAAACATATATAAATACTGTTTCACTTGTAAATTTGAATTCAGTTGATTAACTGTATGTCTAAATAATTCATTCAATCTATTTTTAAATTCCTTAATTCCAATATGTTGGAAATCTTAGGCAGCACTATATGATTTCTACTGCCTGTACAAATCACCAAGCAACATCGAAACAGTGCTTTTAAACAACTAGATTTTGCTGTTGTTGCAGATAATGTTCTATCTAATAGCAATAGTAATTGTTAGATGTTAGATTGAATACCAGGAAAGGCTCCAGCCCCCCCGCGACTCCATTTGGGAATAAGCGGCTCAGGAAATAGATGGATGGATGGAAATGTAGGATTCATGCTTCAAAATGAGAACACTGTCTGAATTAATCAAAACGAAACCAAATGCTGTAGCTTCCAATCACGATCTACTTGCCTGTTGTGCTAATTAAAAACTAATAAATAAAATAAATCTGTAATTACCAGTTTGATAGCTTTTGGATAGCTTCTCCTTCACTGAACCAGAAACCTCATTATATTTTTCTAAATAGCTATTTTTTTAACTGGGCCTATCTCTCTACGGTTAATCCTTTACGAAAATCATTATCTGAAAAATACTGACCAAACATTCACTTGACAAATCATTTGACTCATATACAGTTCAAATGGATTTAATAGTACCAAAATAACAATAATGTTCAGCATTAATATCAAATAAACAGCAGATATTTTATGACAGTTCCTGAGTTGTTACACAAAACATTGACACAAACGTCTGAAATGACATACAGTTATCAACGGCTGCAACACTGCAAAAACACACTCAGCAGTAAATACAGTGGTTTTATTTCAAACAAACAGGTTATTGCAGTATTTACAACAATGAATGGAGGGCAAGGCATTAAATTAAAAGGTAAAAAAAGGATGTATGTATGTACATGTACGGAATTAATAGTGGACAATATGTCCAATACCGACAAAATAACTAGTAAAGCACAAAAGGTCACTTATACACAGAAACGGCACTCCAAAAACTCATACGTCACCATCTCTATTGTACGTTTGCACTTTGCAGCATAGCGGGATGTAGGATATTCAAATTTATAGTTTAATCTATACGTAGACCTATTTTCCGATTTGCGAATATAATAAAGAGGCTGAGGAATTGTGCCTTATGGTTTTTAATCTGATCAGCCTTTTACAGTCTGCTACTTACTGCCTGTATATCTACAGTATATACAAAAACAAGGTTTTGACTCATCTGCATGAGAAACAACTGAGGACATGTTCATCAGACGAAGAGCTCCCTAAAACAATTTCACAGAGTAAAAAATTTAAAAGTTATCAAAAAGGACGTATCCAAAAAATGGTGAGGGAATGTAGTTTACAGTAACCTGTGACAGCCAGATATCAAATTTCACAGCTTTGAAATGCTTATATTGTAAGTTACAATTATGTTGGAAAATGAGTAATGAGTTTAAAAACCAAAAAACCAAATACCTTAAGGAAATTCAATGCAAAGAGAGGGAAATGAAAACATCCGTGGCAATATTTGAAGAAAAAAAAAACACGGCACCACAAATGTAATTAATAATACTTTGGCAAGTCAGTTGATTTTGATGTGCATCAGAGAGTAATGTGCCATGTTAAACCTTAAACTTCACCAGTTCGTTGTTGCACGGTAACCAGAACACTTTTTGTTTTTGACTCAGATATAGTTTTTGTTTTATTTTCATTTTAGTCAGCTGTCAAATGATGAATGAGGACTTGTGCCGAAAATGACCCTGTAAAAAAACAAAAAGGACAGAATTTATTTAGAATTTGTTTAGCTGTTTTCATTGTGTTCAGAATGCCATGCATCAGCATAAACTCGGTACCTCTGTGCCACACTCAAATGTTGTTTCTGTCTGAATTTGCTGACTGGGGTATTGTGAGCAAAAGAATCACTGAAAGGAAGGTGCTTTTTTCAGGCAATTTAATCCTCAACTCTGAAGAAGTTACCGTGGTGATACAGCCGAGTTAAAAGAAAGCCATCATTCTGACGCTGAAAATTTTGACTTAAGGTTACACTTTGATAATCCATTAATCCGGCTTCGAAGCGAGTGCGTTCTAAATGCTGTGCATGCTTGGCAGGTTGTTTACCTCATCTGCATCGCCATAGTCAACCCCCTCACTCTGCGCTGGCCAATTGTAGCTGACAAAGATGAGAGGAAAAAATGAGATAATACACTAAATCCTTATCACAGAAAAAAGGATTTGGAATCATCCTCTCCGTCCTTCAGAGCTGCACATGGTACTCACTTGTTCTCACTGTGGCCTTTATTTTGAACGCACACACGTCGAAGAGAATACATGCTCAAAGCCAAGCAGACGAAAACAGTCAGTCCACCGGCTGCCTTCAGGAAAATTCCAAGGATGTCAACATCGTCTGCAACAGCACACAGAAAGGATATCTTGAAGTCCACTTGAAAGTAAATATGCCTTGCTCCATATATCAGCTACATGCCAGATCGAGGCGTGAAGTCAACAAGAAGGAAGGTATTTGTCTGAAAAAGGAACAGGTTCGGATAGGTTTCTGTTACTATATAAATGTTAATAAAGATATTGGTGTCTCCTTTATCACCATCATGATTGACATGATACCCAGCTTTTAGAGCATGAAATAAAATAGTCTTATCATAGTTGGATATATGCACAGACATATAGTTTATACTCCCTTTGGGGCAAATTTGTAAAATGTGAGATTGAGTTAAGTAAGAATGTCAAAATTGCTCTGGGGTACGAATAGCTTTCATTACCAGTGTTGCGTGTGTTGGGACTTTCTTCATTTAATTCTTGACCTGTAGTTCTTGATTACACTTGAATGCACCACTGACCCTGTGACATACTGACAGGGATGAGCTCAGTCTCTCCAGGGCCATTGAGGGGGGGAAAAAGCATGTGAGGGGGATCAACTGCAGATGGATATAGATTTCCACATCTCATGCCTGTTGTTTGTCGACTCCCCTCTTTTCACACACATCAGCCTCTTTCTTATTCAAGCGCAGTGTATGCTTCAGCTTTCAGGTTTAAGTGCTCGAGTGTCTGAGTGCCACTCACAGACTTCCATTATTTGCGGGGCGCACTGGGCATGTCCGGCGTCGTTCTTCGCTTGGCAGTAGTACTCGCCTGCATCTTCTTTCCTCACCCGGCGAAATTTCTGGGGAGACATTTTTGTAAAAATGTCAGTGATCTGACACAGTGATGTTGACGCATTGCCACAGGATGTCTGGGTTCATGGCAGTCAGGCTGTGGTGTGACTCACCATATGGACAAAACAATAAGCTTAGTATTATGGTCATTTGATATGTGACATCTGCAAACTGTTAAACTTTGATGTTGCAAAAATAAATTATCAACAAGCCTTGATGCGGCATTATCCTGTGTTCCGACCCCACTCTTTGGTTAAGCCTCATTTTTACACACGGCGATTAATCCTGCACTTAGTCATTCCGTGGTTAAGGTTTTATTCTGATTAAGCTGTTTATGTTACATAAGCTGTAATTGACTATCCTTAAACTAAAGAGTCCTGTCCAAAAAGAAAAAGACTTAATCTACCAAAAAGTACACTCATAATAAGACAGTAATAATGTGGTAGTTGGTATACACCAAAATTAAGCTAAAAACCCTTGGTGTTGCAGTGGTAGGTGAGCCTGGGCCTGTGTCTCTCTCTCATACCAGGCCTCCGGTGTCAGGGTTGATGCTGTAGGACAAGTTGACAAATCTCTGACTGCTTTTGGGATCTTGAAGAAGCTCCTCGTTGTTGTGGAACCAGCGGTACAGGGGAGCAGGAAAGCCCTCGTTCTCCAGACACCGCAGCTCAGTGGAGGTTCCAACGGTGACAGCCTCCGGGATGCTGCAGCGCGGCACAACGGGCTTCACTGCACACAAGCAAGAACCCCCCATCAATCTGCGACAGCTTGTGCGATGTTTTCACTGCCTGCAGAAAACCGCTCCGCCGAGAATAACGAGTCAGCAGTAAAAGAAGTTTGTTCAGAAAGTTTGGATTCTTTTATTATGCATGAATATAATTGAACACATGATGCATAAAAAAGCGAATAGCGGTGAGACAGACGTCACAAGAGGCAAGAGTTTGCTTTCTTAAGGTTAACACAGCTGGAATAGAATAGATCTGTATCATCACCACTGACCCTGACTGTGAGTGGTTGTGTGTGTGCAAGTCGGAGGGATTTCACCTTTTCTGTCCCGGTGACTCAATGAGTGGGTACAGGGCAAGAGCATCGGAGTGTGCCTTCAGTCCATTGTAAATTTATGCCACATGCGGCAAACACTGCTGGCACTCATTCTCTTAGTGTGCAGGCAGGGGTTTGCTCCAGGAGCCGTGTCTAATCACAGGGATGTAGTGAGCAGCCAGTCATCGGATGATCAAGCAAAGTCTCCCACTGACTGCAGCAAACCGATGAGGTAAACAGACCCAGACCCCAAGGCCTTTTCCCTCTGCCCACGATGACGCTGACTATTATCTTAGTTCCAAATAGTTACTCTACAAATACCGAAGCAGCGCATATTCCACTGGATTTTAGTGCGTCACATAATGCTACAAGCTAAGTTTTTGTGTTTTGTCTATGACTGGGTCTGGTTGGTAAGCTGAGAAGCTTCCAGGCCCGCTGCAGATTTCGGTCCCAGCAGCTCATTAGTTTAATCTAAAAGCAAGTCTGGAGGCAACAAGTGGTTGCTTAGCAACTTCACAGTTACCACAGTTGAATGTTTTAGGGATAGAGTGTTATTGATCTTTTCATCAAACCCTGGATACGAAGGTGAGCTGGAGAACATTTACCAAAATGTCAAAGTAGAATGTCAAGCCATGAAAAAAATGTATATCAACAGTATAGTAAGTAGTTAATCTCTTGGTGGCATTTGAGTATTTGAATCAGTCATGAATGTGTCACAGATGCAGTGTATCTGCTCTTCATACCTCTCACGGCAAGACTAATGAGTATTTCATCAAAGTCCCTTTGATCGTCGATGGCGGCCACCTCGCAGCGATACTCTGCGGTGTCTGATCGAGTGGCGTTAAAGATCACAATGTTGGCCGGTTCTCTGAGCTGAGCTCTGTTCTCCAAGTCCCCTGTTTAAAGAGAGAAAAAAGAGAATACTCTACAATTGCTCATTCAAACACAGTGTGGCTTCACGGATCAAAAACAGAGCTTGTGCCAAGTTCTTTAACAGTGCCACTCATTCAGCTGAGCTGTGAGTTCCGAGGGGCGGCTTTGAAATGTTAAGGTCTACTGGTTGATGGGCGCTTTCCAAGAGATTTACCTGCCACCTTGTTCTGAAAGTACACATAACTGGGGACACCGTTTTTAATCTTTTTCCATTCAATCCTCGGGTTGTTTGTTGAGATGGATTCTATCAAACAGGTCAGTTCGATGGCTGTTTAGAAAAAACAAACAGATTGAGTGAAATACAGAGAAAGAGAGTTCAGATCAGCTTAATAAAAAGGTACTTTGGCTAAATGAGTAATCCTGCAACTTACGCTCAAACTCATTTGCCCACACGATCTTGTCTGTGGTTCGGAGGATTACCCCAAGCGATGATGGAATGTGACCTGTGGGAAAAGATATATATACATATAAAAAACAAGTGACTTGCTAAATGCTGAGTAACTCTAATTCCAAACAAGTATTTTCATCAGCGGATATTATCAGCTGGGAAAGCTGCCTAATAACCCGTGGATTAGACAGATAAATGAGAGGAGCGTGAGAGCCTTGGGATCTGATTTAGTGTGAAAATGTCTCATTAATTACTTTCCATTTCCATATGAGGAGACCTTTGCCTGAGGCCAAAATTACTGAGCTCTAAAGTTTATTGAAAATGGGGATCACACTGAATACATATTTAAATCTAACTCGTGGAAATATTCTGTCTTAATTTTCTATTTAATTCTTCTCTGGTGGTTCATTTGGTAATTGTCTGGATGGTGAAGTATAATTGAAAAGAGAGAGGGAGTGAGCCAAATTTGAAACTGTTGCATGGAAAAGATTAAATCAGAGATGCTTGTAAATATTTGGACTGTGACCCATTTTCTTTATTGTTTTGTCTTTAATCCAACACACTCTATCAGAAATGAAAGACCAACTGAAAGTGTTGAATGTCAGCTCAGGATATTTACAGAAACCTTTTTAATGAATACAGCTGTACAGCTGAATTTCCAGGAAAAAAAGTCACATTAGAAGACACGACTGCATCTATAATAAGAAAGAGAGAAATGGAATGATGACCTCAAGGGATCTGCTTGCTATTGGTAAATACTTTAAATCAAATTGAAAAAGCTCACATAAGAAAATAATTAAATGTCATGTTTCATCTGCTTAAGAAATCTATTGATGACTCTAAAAACTAGACAATCAAAAGGTAGCTTAAGGTAAATGAACAGTTTTTAAAAAGTGATCATGTGTATAGGTAATTTCTTTAGCCTCACTGGTGTTTGGATGATGATATGCGTTTGAGGAATAGCTGGAATCCACCAATGGTGTGTCACCCATTAGAGCAGAAAGCTTCCATTTCTTTTCTATGAAATAACATTTCTGTGGAAGAATAGATGTGCAACAAAGCACAGTGATAAAAAAAAGTCACTGCTTGGGTGAAGGAGTGTGTTACTTATCTGCTTGGCTGCAAGATATAGTTCATTTCATCTGTTTTTTTCACGTTTGTGGAAGTGCATAGTGGCTAGATTACAAAATTGTACCAAAGTTTAGAAAATAAATCACAGTCTGTGAACAAATCAAATGAGTAGCACTAAAAGGGGAGACAGTGGGAATGTGTCCACATTTGAACCATACTTAATCTACCATGTAGGTTTCCCTACGGCCAAAGCACGCACAGAATACTGTATGCACTTTATTTCAAGCTCAGTGCTTAAGTGAACCGCTTAAAGCAATCAATGTTATTTTATAAATAGCAGGCCTTAATGGCAAGTGGTATAATTCACAAATTCTGTCAAAACTGGGCCAGCAGGATGCAGATTTGGGAGACCAGTAAATCTGGGTGAGCGGAGTGTAAAGTGTAACAACAAATTAAGAAAATCCGAAAATTACGGTTCAGTGTATCTGATTAAAACATTGGGAGTGTAAATAAGTATTGCTCTGCCTTCCACTTGCACCCTACTCTCAACCTTTTTGTCTTTGTCACATCCAAATGCAGTAATTGCTGGGTACATATGCAAATAACAGCACCCATGCTGAGTAATGAAAGCTTTCCTGCTCCCTGTAGGGCAGTACAAAGGGTTTCAAACCAGGGGAGAACTAAGACAATAATAATCAACCGAGCTGCTCCAGAATACAGCAAGACAAGCCTGTGCGCTCTAGGCTGGGTGCACTCAGAGGTATTTATTCAAAGGAGCCTTGTTAGCAGATGACTGACCCCGAGATGTGCTGCACAGAATGACAAAAGGGAGCGAGCTGATGCTTAGCGTCTAAATGAAGAAAACATGGGTCCTGCCAAAGCGTCCGGTCATATAAGCACAGCCGGGGACACTGACGAGCTTTGACTCCCAGGTCTCAGCTTCCGTCTCTGTTGCTGACTTTCCCACCCTGTGCATCAAGATCTATTTTTACCACAGCTGTGACTGGACATCCTGTGAGACAAGAGGAGAGCTCATCCAGCAAACGCTCCCTCAGCACATGCACGTAGCCGAGCCTTGAGGCTGCTTTCTACTCCGTTTCTTGTACAGACACTGCGCAGCTAAAACAGGACTCATTCTTTGAGGGAAAGAAAAAAAAAACTGTAGCACTCTCACATCGGGACACATTAAATTGAGACCAGAAAGCAGCTTTCATAATAATACAGGTTGCAACATAACTGTGTGTCATCTGTTATTCTAAATAGAAAAAAAAAACACTTTAGATTTGTTAAAGAACATCTGTTTTGATAAGTACAGAAACAAAAGGTCACCACCCTCATGTCCATTTAGAAAAAAACATAAACAAAGTTTTTAGGCCCTCTTATTTGTATTACACAATTTTTTGGATTTTGTTTTTAGATTACAGTGGGCCATGGGCTAAAAAAACTTAACATGAAGGTACTAAATGCATGTAATTAACATACAGCAAATACAAAACAAAGAAACACAAAGAAACTAAATGTAGGCTGTGGGAAAGACTAACCATGGTCCATTAACAGGACAATGAGTGACTACTTATTAATGCGACCTTAGAAAAAAAGCAGTCAGACAAAAATGCTTTTGTTCCCACAATGTAGGCTAAAGAGAATAAAATATTCCTGATTTATTAAAATAATCTCAGCACTCACTGGAAAGAAAACAAAGCCTCATTTTAATCTCTCTCTCTCATTGTAAAGCACATAAGAAATGGCTCTATGGCCTGTTCTAAGAGAATCCTGCTTTTAAATAGCCAAATTCTGCAATCCTCTTATGTGCTGGGCAGGAAAACAACCAGCCATCTCGATCCAGGCAAAAAAAAAAAGTTGTTGAACCAGTGCATCTAAGAAAAGCCTATTCCCAGGCATTCCAGTGCAGTCGCTGCAAATATGCTGAAGGCCGATGATGGAGCGAGGACCGCTGGGATTCACAGCATACTGGAGTGACAGTGTAAAAATCCTTCCAGTAAATTAAACCACAACACCCATACTGTGATAAGTTCTTAAGGGAAATGTAAGAAAGACGCATAAAAACGTTTGTTTTTGTTTCTTCCATTTCGGCGTGTACTTATTTCCACGGGCCTATCCCTGTTAATGTGACCACATTTATGAAAACTTTATCTAAAGTTATTGGGATGATCTTTGCAGAGGAAGTTCTTTGGGACATTTACAGCCATTTTCTCTTTAAGGTAGCTTATGATTGACAAAACCTGTGTGCCTCAAGATCACAAATGAACACATAAAGGTATATAGATAATTACTGCATGTAAAACACATATAATCCGATAAAGTCATCTCCTTTCAGGATGGAGTAAAGGTTTATTATAGTAATGCTGCATATGAATGTCCTTGACAGTGAGCTGGAATCTCTTCTGCTATCTTGGAAAAATTTGAAAAAACCTCAAAAACGCGCTCATCATTTCAGCGAGTCAGCCAAAAGGACACTTTCCACTCATCACAATCGTCTGACAATCTCTAAATAGAAAACACTTGCTTTAATTGTCATATAACTGGCTTTCAGAGGAACCTGGATACACTTCCTTTCTGTGTTCTCTGGATTTCATGATATTTGATACGGGGTAAAAGTGTATACTATATTGTAATAGAACAAATTTTACATCATGCTTTTTCAAAAGAAAAACATAAGGGTTGAATAAAGATGAACACTGTGTAACCACAAAGTGAGAGCAAGAGGAAGGTACGAGCATCATTTTCAGCTAACCTTACCAAAACATTTAAGCCTTTTTATGCATGAATTAAACAATGCTCATTCATTATTCAAACATAAGAGCAGGTTGAATTAATGCCACGTTTATGTTTTTTTTAACACATTTTGGAGCAACACTCATGAGACAATACAAGAACAAATCCAACCATTACACCATCGGCTTTGGTTTTGGGCAGACGATGGTGAATCATCCTAAAAGCCAATACCAATAACATACTTATCATTACCGTGCATCCCTACTCAAAAGATCAACAAATGAGGCTGTGGACATTAGTCACGCAGATACCCATCACATCTAGATTTGGAACAAGAGGGCAGATGAAACAAATCACCAGCTGTTGCCGCACATAAACTTCATCTCACCGATTCTTTAAGTCCAAACTTCATATCATATATGCCACATGCGAAAGACAGGTCAGACAAAAATGAAAAGGGACTTAAAGAAGTCCATGGTGTTTGTCTGTTGAGTCTACTGTATGTGTCGAACAGACAAAGAAGGATGCAGCACACTGGGTTTAAAATATCAGCATGCAGTAAATGTATTGATGCTTTTGCAGGCCTGGGATTTCTGACACTCAGGGGTCATCACCATGTGGCTGCTGCTTTGCTTTGGGGGGGAAAAAAATCCTTCTGGGAAAAAAAAGAATTCCTTCTGGAAATTTCCCAAAAGAGAATCTACAATGACAAGCAAAACACATCTTTTGGAATTCTTCAAATGTGCAATAAATAAACAGAGCTGTTTTGTCCTCTAACGTTAGCCAACGGTTGAATTCAAAATGCCCATACGTTATTTTTTCAGATTAAATGTAACGTTTGCGTAGGTGAGAAAAACGCCTGAGTGCCGGTGAAACTCCTCACGGAAATACTACACTACACAATAAGCAAGGTTTCGTGGCATTACTCCGCTTTCTCACATCAAGCTAACGTCTGTTCTACCGTTAGCACTGACAGTTCCGTTACGGCTCTGATTCTACACGAGCGAGCCCTCCCTCTTTAAGTGCGTCTTGGCAGTGGCCATGGGAAAATCCGTGAAAAAAACTTACCTAGACTGATGTAAAGAACAACACATCCTACGAGTGTCGCCATCGCCATCTTGCCGCGTATCATCTATCGTCTACAGCCGCACGCGCTCAGCACCTCTGAGAGGTATGAGGATGAGGGCAGAGAGGACTGGTGGATGTTGCCATCGACGAGTTTCCATAGCTACAAGCGTCAGTGTGTGTGAGTGTGCCCCGAACGCTGACTGAGAGGCTGGGGGCGGAGCCAAAGAGGTTCTCCTCCTCAAACACACACACACAAACGCGATTTATCTCAGCCTCACCGTGGGAATCTGGTAACCTCCACCATCTAGTGGCCATGTTTTACTACGTAAAAAGGAAAATAACCAAATTAATTTGTTACTGTTGTTTATCTTTTTGGTTCGTTTTGATGTTGTCAAAATCAGGTTTAAGAATAAGATACCAAATTTCTATTGAGTGAAAAGAGAAAACAGAATCTTGGGTAGTTTATTTAATAGTTTTTTTTCTTGCTTTTAAAATATGCGTTTTTCTCTTTGACAATTTAATATCAAATTCAGGGCAAAGTATTACATTTTTAACCTTCTGTCTGTCTGTCTATCTTGCCTGTAAGACCACACAGAGGGTTAATAAAAGTTATAATTTCAGTTTTAAAAAATCACTACAAGGGCATCAGAGCGGAAGATGCACCCCAGCATATCGGGAATGGCTGTCGATGTTGCTGAAAAAATTATTTGTCTCTAATGTCAACATCAGTCCTATCTTTCCTGGAACAGCTATCATTCCTTGAAAAACAACAACAAAATATATGTATATATATTTACAAAACCAAGCCACGTGAAAAGTCCTACATTTGGAAAATAATCAATACGTTTTATTACAATTCAGTATTTCTATTTAAACATAACTATATCATGTGACTGGATTTATGCAGTTCACAGTGATGTAAAGTGTACCATAAGGGAAAGTAAACGTCTAAAGTTCTGGGAAGAAAAAAATCAGTAGGTGGCAGTGTTTAACCAGAAATGACATTCCAATGCAAGCTACAAGGTGATGTCATTGTATTTGTAGTATATTTTACATCTCATCAAAAACGCTTAGTGTTTTCTAATTATAATAGAAAATAGAGGTGAAAAACTAATTAGAGTTTAAATCCAGTGTCCACATAACATCCATTATTTACCTCTAAATTCAACAATCTTGTCCCAATGTTCAGTTTAAAATCAACCAGTTGGTCACTTTCAACACTTCTTATTACAGCTATCTGACTCCAACAGCTTTACCATTTTTTATAATAAATGCAAGGATATACAGTGAAACATGTCATGTATGGAGAAAATAGTGATATTTATCTGTCTGGAGTTTCATTTTAATCTGTGAGTCAGGTCTGTTGGAAAAGGGGTTTGTGCCAGATGGGATGAATTGCTCTGTGTGTTTTTGCAGAATAAATAATGCAGTTATGTTAGTTTGAGATTTAATATCAGGCATGTACCCAGTCGCACACCCATGAGGTTTCGTCAGACAGGTCTAACTCCGGCCGAGGTCCACTAACGGTGTTCAATAAGCACAGGATATTAGAACATTTCAGCCGGAAACTTTATTCAATACCACAGTGAAGAAGCCATTTTCTGCTACATAGATGAAGAGTATACTGAATTAAAGACAAGTTCACCATTTGCATTGAGATTCATGTATCCATCCAACTCTGCATCATTTCTCTTTCGTGTGAAATTATCCAAATACATGCTAATGTTTGCAATCTGTGCTAATTATGAGTGACACTTTTTCTTTGATACATGCTCTCGTCTCTAACTAACCCCCTGTGTGTGCTAGAAAGCTGTTCCTCCAAGAATCCCCATAAAGCCCCCAACCCCCTCTTTTACAGCTATTATTAGTGCTCTCATGAAGCGAGACACCTCCCTATCCTCCCAATATTTCTGCTGCTTATTGTTCTTCCAGTGAGTCCTTAATGTGAGAGTATCTAAGCCGCAGTCTGTGCTTAAAACTCAGGAGATACCCAGGGCACCGAGGTGTGTGACTTTTTATTCTGCATATTGCAGTCTGCAGCTGACAGACATTTGGCTTCAGCTTCCAAATGCTGCAGGGCTCAAAAGAGGAGAGGGAGACTTAAAGAAGCAGCTTGAGGTTCAGATAAGGAGGCAGCTCAAATTCCCAGACGTGACAATCAAATGGAAGAGGCCAACAAATGAACAAAGCAGGGTAGGTTAAAGTTTCACATCATGGCTGGCTCATGGGACTGTTTCCATCATCTTATTTACATCACAAGTTCAGGAAGTTGAACCAGCAGGACAGGGATGCGTTATTCTTGAACCTATTATCACTATGTATATATTAGGCATGCTGGTCTGCAACATCTGTGGGCTGTCAAGAGACCTCCATATGTTTAATACAACACTCATTTTCTCAGAAGAACAACACACTGAAACTGATGAGTAATTCTTTTAATTAGATTAAAAATCCGCCATCATTGTCTGCCTCGTCTCCAGATTTCAGGAAAATAATATTTGCATGCTTACAGGCTCTTATCAGAATTCTCTGCATGTTTGAAATGAACAACTGAAATAAATAGCCGCTATCTTATTTCCAGTAGACAGCACTTGATAACTCCGCAGTCTCAGAATGGGTCTGGCCAACACTGTGTACAACTAGATTGTCTTTTTTTTGTCATGCTAACTAACAATCGACATGCCAATTTTGAAACTCAGACGTGTCGATCAAACAAAGGCCTGATAAAGAGTGCACCAAGGACAAAAAACAACAGAGAAGAACATTAAAAATTTGAGGGACAGCTCATTAACATGACTCCCTAAAGCCCCACAGTCCCAGTGCAGACAGAACAAGGCATGGATCAGAACACACACAAAAGAATCCAACGTATATTTAGGAACAAACAGTAGGAACCTCAGCCTTCATCAGCCTTTCTTTTTGTCTTAAAATAAATGAAAAGGGTGTCATCCTCCTCCAACGGACCTGCCTGTCAAGCAAGGACTAAAATGATGATGCATCTACTATGTATCCAGATATCTTTATCATCTTAAGGCAAATCATGTTGGTGGGAATGAATTAGCAATAGTGACATTAAAAAGAAACATATTTTCATAAAACGTCAAATCAATTGTTAATCTGGACACAGGACCACAATAGTCTCAACCAAGATGGACTTCGCAACCCTTCATTTCCATATTCTAAAGGCTATTCGTGTTTTTGTTTTACACTTTTGACATAAGCTGTTCCCATCAGTGCCATTTCTACCAAGTCTTGTTTGAGTGTGAAGATAACTGCGAAAAATGTTCCGTTAACTTTCTTTCAGCTTTCCAGCCACAATCTGCCACCATATTATGTCATAATATACACCAAATTCTGTCTCCATTACACATGAACTAATTCAGGATTTGTAACACTGGCATTTTCTATTATTTTTGGTATGTTCAGGTGGTCCAGAGCCATAACTTTATGGCTTCACTTATTTTTCTCAACTCAAATTGAAGAATTTTGCCACAGAGAGGTTTATTTCTGTTCAACGTGAGGCTACAGACATCAGTCAACTCTTTTCTCCATTAGGGTCCAATATTTTGCCAAATCTGCCATTTCAAGTTCCAGACTGCTCAATCTTGAATGTAGTCAGACTAATGACAACCCTTCCTCCCCCCGAATTGAATCAGACATTCAGGCAAAAAGAACACTGATGTCATGTGAATTCTTCATCAAGAGAGGTTGGCTGCAGTGATTCGGTCCGCTGGCCAGAACAGAAGATGGATATTCAGCGCTCCCATCATTTTTTGGTTAGGTTGTTCTGACTCTACTGATGACACTGAAAATGACAAGTGATTCTCTTCTGGGGAGCACAGCAGAGAATCAAAGTGACTTTGAGGCTTTGAGCTCTCCTCCACCAACAATTCTTTTTGTCTTTGGTAACCTCTGGAGGGATGCTGACATTTAAAAACACAGTTTTTTCAGTCCTGATATCCATCCATCCATCCATCCATCCATCCATCCATCCATCCATCCATC